GACGAGATTGGCCAGATCACGTGAGCGGTTTACAGACTCGTTTTCATGGTCAAACCGGAAGCTGGCGAAATCAGACAACAGATGTGAGTCACCTCAGCGAGGTAAGCGCATGTGACCTATAAAAGTAGCCCTGTTCTGTGCCTAATATACTTCGGTCTAACAGCCTCAGCGTTCTGTTTTCCCCGTCTGGTTGGTAGCGCAGAGAGACAGAGGCAAAGGGCAACATCACAACACTCAGAACCAGTTACGAGTTCTTCGGGTGGAATGCAATGTGACCTCTGCACTCGTTGATTGCATGACGCTTACACTGGGTTGGATAGACAGCAGTATATCCTACTAGAAAACAGCGATGCTTTACTTTATAATTGCACTGATTGTGCGGAGCACAAAGCATCTCGTCTAGTTTTAAATGGCGAAATTGAAACATTAGTCGATATTGTGGGTACTCTTTTATCTTTGTCTAGTTCTTAAGAAGAAAAGGTTGATCACAGCGTCGTAAGTCTTCAACATACAGGAGTTCTCGGAACAAGCGTGCGTTCAGACGACTGCATAAATAGTACGGGTTCGAAGAATTCACCTAATCTTGAGGCCGCGCCTGCAGATCGTAAATATCCTGACGTTCTAATAAACGCAACTGTGAGTGGGGAAGTTTTACAGGCTAGTGTGTCTGCGATGGTAAAACAACGTAAGATAAAGAAACCGATCACTACAAACAAACCTAAGCTAAAAGATGCAGCGGTGGGCTCTTTCAACACTCCATCCCCGGTAAAGGAGGCAGAAAACTCTTCCAGCTCGTTGCCGGAATCCTTCTCCTGTGCACCTGCTGTTCCTACTAAGGAGGATATGAACTCAAGCGCTGTGTCGGCTACTGCTACGTGGACGCGTGTCATAAACACCATTTACGGACAGCAAATTATCTTTAGGAATATCGCGGAGACCTTTGCGGCTCTTCCGAAATATCGCATGCTTGACGACCTTCACTGGTTCAAACTTTGCGCTTATAAACTACTTCCACCCTGATTTTCTGTGGTTACGATTAGAAAACTTACCAGGCCTGGGAATCTATCGGGTGACAGTACTAAAAGTAGGCCCTGTCTATTGCGCGTAGTCCTGTCTACACCGGAGGAGCGCCAAGCTGTTTTACGCTTCGCCTTTAAACTAAAGAGTTCCGGATTGGGTATTCGGTCGGACCTATCTTTAGCCTATAGGATAAAGCTTAAGGAAGCCATAAAATACCTCTAAAGGGTGTTGAGAAGCTGCCGAGAAAACTTCATATTTGGTGGGTTTTCGCGGGGTGAGGCGACGGTCCACTTTTCTCCTACCAGAGTCCATTCTGGTAGCACATGACCCAGGGCTCTTCATACCAGACGTTTTCACATAGTTCTCAGTAATGTGCGTAGCCTGAGAAACAAGAAGTGTGAAGTTGGGACCCAAATAGACAACTCCCATCCTGAGTTACTAGCGTTCACTGAAACTTGGTGGTCTTCTGACGTTCTGGACAGTGAATTATACGTTCCGGCCTATGCAATACTGAGATCTGACCGCCCATCTGATCACCACGGAGGTGGAGTCGCCCTGTACATCAGATGTGGTGTAAACATATCAAAACAAATTATTAACTCAGCTGATAGGACCGTTGCAACTTTTACAGTTGAAGTCTATACTAAGACAACGCGATTTACAATTGTGCTGCTGTATAGAAGCCCTGATAGCACTTTTAGAAGTATTATTGACTTCATCTGCACTCACTCTGCGAACAGATGCGTGGTAATGGGGACTTAAGTAAATTGGCATGACCTATCTTATGAGACAGCGACAGAAGTATTGACTGCTGAGCTTGTCGACTTGACACTGGAAGTACCTTTACGTCAATTTCTCGCTCGACCCACCAAGCACATGAAGGGTCATGCTCCTTCGCTCTTGGAACTAGTTGTCGCAAAGTCGGTTAACTTTACGACCGACCTTGAGTATAGTCCCCCTTTAGAAGCTAGTGACCCTGTGTGTTTGTCATTCAATTGTGCTCTCATTAGAGACCACGAGTCACGCAGGGTCCGAACTTGGAACATTTGACACGCCGACTTTCAGTTTATTAGAGCCAAGGCAGTAAGTTCCCTATGCATCATCTCGCCGAAGGATGATATACTGACGGCTTGGGATAAGTTTAAGTCTTTCCTCTCTAATATATCCCACCTTCACATCCCTTTTTCGGCGAAGAAGATTGCCAATGCAAAGCCATCATGGTTGGTCTCAGTCGCGCACCAGCTGATGGATAAACAGGCAAGATGCTGGCGTATCTACCGGACAGTTCTCTCGGAATGTACTTTTCGACGTTATCATGAAGCGCGAACTGCTTGCAAGAGTCATTTACGAGCTACTACACTTAGCTATGAGATGGAGCTGGCTAACTCAGCCTCCCCCAAATCCCAAACAATTTTTCGCCTACATCAAAAGCATAGTAACGTTGGTTCATCTATCCCGGTGTTATTCGGCAGTGACGGCGCCACTGTCAATACTGATCACGAAAATGTCTGTCTACTCAGTGCGCAGTATGCCGGGATGTTTTGTTCGGGATGAGCAGTTGCCGCATGTTGACTTAGCGATGACAGTCCCACAAGACTCCCATTTAACTGGTATCTCAATTATGGAGGCATAAGTTCTCCATCTTCTTCAGGGGCTAAATCCTGCTGAATCCGCTGGGATGGATGATATTCACTTAAAGCTTTTGTACGAACTTGCAAGCGAGCTATGTGGTCTAGTGCAAAGTTTATTTCAGTTATCGCTTCGCAGCTGCTCCTTTCCCAAGGACTGGAAGGATGCTATCGTCTGAATGATTTCCAAAAACGGCGACAAGCATCTTCCTACCAACTATAGACCGGTAGGTTTGACTGGCATACTGGTCAAGTTATTAGAGAAGCTGGTCAGGGATGTGTTTGAAAACCACCTGCAAGAGTTTGGTCTGTTCAGTTCACTTCAACACGGCTTTCGCAAGGGTCAATCCTGCATGACTAATTTGCTAGTTGCACGCGACTCTTGGGCGGATGCTTTGGATCGGGGTCATGCAGTAGATGTACTGTTTATTGAGTTCGCCAAGGCGTTCGACACTGTACCACATTCTCGCCTTTCCTTGAAGCTATGGTCTTATGGAATATCAGGACGTGCACTACATTGGATCACCACGTTTATGGAAGGGATGGAGATGTGTTTTTATGTGGGGTTTAGTCTGTCTTTCCGCCAGTCAGCCCTCAGTCTGGTCGCTCAGAGTTTGGTGCTTGACCGATTGTTATTTTCGCTGTATGTCAATGAGCCTCCTGAACTGCTGGGGGTGCCATCTCTCATGTTTGCAGATGACCAAACGTTTTGGCACACAGTGTCCGACTTCGATGGACCCCACGATATACTTTGGGACTGGGCTGCTTTGTGGCAGTAGCCCATAAATTCCGCAGTGTTCCATTTTACGATTAGGGCCAAACGGTCCCCAAACTCGTTACCTGCTTGGTGGGAATGAACCATGGCATGTTTCCCAACTGTTAGACGTAGGGATTACGTCGTCTCCAGAACTTAAAACTCATAATAACTGGAGGAAAGCTGCATGTAATGGTTTCAGAATGTTGTGGATGATCCGCAGAACCTTCGGGAACGTTACGAGCGATATATGTGTTAGGTTATTCTCCGCCTTTGTCAGGCCACACTTCGAATACTGCATCCAGGTTGGTCCACCATACTTAGTCAGCGACAGGATGTCACTAGAGAGAGTGTTGAGAGTTGGAACGAGAAGGCTTCATTGACTACGGAATCTTTCTTACACAGAAAGACTACTTGAGCTTGGAATTTTCTCATTGCATTATCGTCGCCATCGAGGCGATTTGATCTTGACCTATCGCATACTTACCGGTGAAATCGGACCCGATTTATCTGGGTTTTTCCAACCGGCTCGATTTCCATCTCTCCGAGGTCACTCGGTGAATGGAGTCCGGGCGGACTTACGTTTCTCACGCCAAGTGGTGGGTTCCTGGAATCCAGTGCCCGTGAACGTCGTATCGATACCAACGCGGAAAGAGTTCGAACACCGACTTGACTCTCTTGGCTTTCAGTTCTTACTTTTCCCCTTCACATCTAAGCTTATTCGCCCTATTGCAATAGTAAAGCCATTAATTTTTGGTTCTTAACGCAGTTATTACTTTATTACTTCTGTTTTTTATTTCACGTGACCGGTGCGGCGGGGACTGCTAATGCAGTTCGCGTGGGTACTAATTGTTTGACGGTGGTATGATTCGCTCATGCTGATCTGACTCCTTTAGATTCCAGTCACCTCGTGGGAATAATACCCTGGATCAACGACGCTCCAAGGAAGGGGCATTCACGGTAAGTTATCTTACTGTTCAAGTCCCACCCGCACTTGAATTTGTTTGTGCGGCAAATCAGAATGGATCTAACCACTTTTCGTACATCGATATACGACCAATCAGAGTGAAGAGCACCTAATCTCCTCGGTTATCTACATAAGGACCGGAACAATAACTGGTGGCGTCCATTCTAGAAGTTATCTTATGCGATTTTCTGTGACCAAGCTACAATCAGCATTGTACTGATGATACCTCAGTTGGTGACAATGCTCCTGCAACCAAGTTGTCAAACTCAACAAACCAATGAACAGCTGAGTCGTCAACCGGAACTACCGGTATTCTCAGACAATGTGAACCCTTCGTGTAGTGAATTTTCAGTGTATATACAACATCAGTGTTGTATGAAATCTAACTTGGAGTGCTGATTCTTACAATGTGATGGCAGTGTTAACGTTTGGCATTGTTTGAATTCTTATATTTGCTAATATATCTCTTACTTTGTTAGCTGTGAATCATCTGGAAAATAGGTCATTTAAACTAAAGCAATTTTGTCTACGTATGTTTTATGGCACGCATCGTGCATTTGTGTTGTTTCTCCTTAACGAAAAATCCCGGTTGCATGAGTCAATCCCAGTCTACCTCTGCATTCCCCATCAGTGTTATCCTCGGAAAATCGCCCACCAAGTGGTCGGATGTCTGGTCGATTTGTCGGAAACTCAACTGTGCTTACCACAGTTGAGGAGTTGGTCCGGTATTCGGAGCCTGGGTGAAGATGACCAAATGGATGCAGTAGGCTTTGAGGCAATCCCGCGACTTATGTCCTTTGATTCCAGTGAGGCCAACCAACACAAGCTTACCAAATTGGCCCATCCAACTAACAGAATGGAGGGGACAGCAGTCAATGTCCCTACGGACGAGGCCACTACGATCGCATTTGATGAGGGTGTGAAAATGCTGGCCACCGGACCGAGGCTAATAGAAACCCTCTGCGCTCTTTGGCGCTGGGAGGAGACCGAACGTTCAGAACTACCGGACGACCCAACTGTCCAATTATGGAGTAAGCGTGTGCTTACCTCCTCTATACGATCCACATGGGGAGTGTTTTATTTATCGCCCTAGATGAGTTAGTTAGGCGAGCGTAGCTAGGGACGCGGAGTTTGAGAGCTCGAGTAGGGGTTGATGGCATAGCAACATTAGTATCTCAGAGTTTACAGTTGTTTAACTAGAGTCCAGTTCGTTCCGACAAATTTTTAGACCTATCTATGCATTACGACTCAGTATATAAATGTTTGAAAAACTAGCGTTGGTAGACCAACGTAGAGTGTAAAGCGGCTTGTGTTTGTTTTAATCCCACCACAAAGAGACGGAAATTTTGACACGGCGACGTATTTAGCATACTGGAAGCGTAACATTTCGGAGGGTGTAATGGGATGTCACACTTTGAGCAGGTGTGCATTCTGTTTTAATGCCGCATAAGCCCGATGAAAATGGAGCTGATACGCAAGTCCAATTCGCTATAAAGTTGCTTGGCCTTTCATCAGACTCGACTCAAACTCTTTTTACCCTATGGATCATGTAAAGCTCGAGCTTTTATTCTCATTAAATACATTGTTGCAAACTTCAATATGGTCGCATGCTAAGTTCTTAAGCTCCATTGTTACAGCAACTGCATCAATGTGAAGTCAAAACACGCGAATTTTTTCCAGCTTGAAGTTGTAGCCATTGATTTGCTCTCCCACAGATTTTTCGCATACAACTAACTTATCTTGTTCCACCCACCACTCGATTGTAGGTGATTCCTCTACCTCTATCCGACGAAGTACGCATTCTACCAGTTCCACAAAGTCAACGGATGTATCATCAGTTTACCGTTCAAGGACAACTACTCAGTCAAGCGAATACGACAAGGAGGATAGATTACGAATGAACATTTATGCTCTGTTACTTCGACTGGGTTTCCCCCAAAGCAGTCAGATCTCATTAAAGGATCAAATAACAATGACAGAAATCGAACACTATTTTGATTTAAAGGTGAGCCAACGACGACAAGAACAACAACAACAACAACAACAACAACAACAACAACAACTGCGTTGTACATTAGAGTGCGTACTTATCGCCCCCGAGACTTTGGTCAGTCTCGGTGCAAGAACATTAGATTGTGGTAGATAGTGCTTCTAGGTCCAGTGAAAGTGATTTGTGATTACTCATGAGCTGTCATATACAAAACGGACGGCAAGTGCCCATCCGACAGTCGTCAGTCAAGCCTGTCAGGATTAGATGAAAGTTGATCGGTTCATCCTCAGTAATAAAAATAACGTGTTAGCTGTACGCCGTAACGGCCATTCGCTGCCGTGCGACCACCACTAGTCGCACGCGGGCTGAGTATACCGCGAGCACCCCCATCCTTACGAGGATTCGAACCAGCACTGCAATATTATGGGACAAGCTCCTTACCTCTAGGCTACTGACCGACGGTTTATTCTCATCAAGTACACCATTTGTTGCATCCCAATAAGCCCACTAGGCCTATCTGCAGACTAGCCTCTACAGCAATATCTCTAACCAGTATGAACTGTAACCATAACAAATTCACGACGAGCGTTGGAAAGTGTATCCTGTCTGTATAACTTGCCTTTTTACAGGCATAATATGTTTTAGCGATCAATCGATAAACGTCCACCCAGTCAGTTGCGAGTTCAGCGTGCATACGCACGCGGCAACATCGAACTGTCAGCGCACACAGCACTATACACCAGCGTTGGACCTACGCGTTACAGATCCTACTGGCAGTAGTCGTGCGGTTACTCACATGACTGCTATTAGCGCGAAGCTTCATACCCGATTATATGAAACTTTCCGCTTGCCAATGTCCTACCCAAAAATTTTCGGTGTTTCACTGCCAATTGGTCAACGACGTTAGCCAAATGAAACTGCATCTCTAAGCGTTCCATTGAAGCTGCACTTCATAGCATACCATGGTGCCACATTTCCATTCAACTCACAGGGAGGTTAACAGAGGAATTCCGTTGAATTCAACCATCTTGTAGTGACATCAACGTAGACCAAATTACTCTCGTTTGGCTTCGTGTGCGTATCCACAGGTGTCAAAGACACTATCCTTTTTGGATGGTGGGCGAAAGACTACTTGCTTAATGTTTGCTAACCCTGTCGGGAATTTCCAAACACTGGTACACATAAGCATTATTTCCATACCATATAATGAAAACAGTTATGCCCCCAACACCCCTAGCTATCTGTTTCATGTGCACGTTGAGTTGATACATTTTGCTGGCACTGATAATCATAATATGCGCGTTGTTGGCTTCATAAGGCATGCCAAATTCCTCTACAACTGACATGCTATCTTTTTTTTAACGGTTCTTATCTATCCACTTGTAGAACTCGGAGGTCTGGTGCGACATCAGGAGTGAACTAGAGAACGAACACATCAGGCCGGTCACCCCGGACGCGCAACTACTCGATTATGTGGAGCGGTGGGGCAGTCTATTGGCAGATGAACTCTTGAAGGCAAAGCAAATAATGATGAAATCCAAAGATGACGCTGCACTGGAGGAAGAGCGGATGCTGTATGCGCGGGTAAGTCGGCTAATTGAGTGGAGAGCAGGCGAACTTCGTGCAGACACTGCAACTCAAACAGTGGTGCCTTGAAGCGGAGAAAGCGGAAAGGTGTGGAGAAACATGCGTATTTGGCGTCAGACGGCTGTAGCCATTCGATGTATGAATCCCGTATTCTTAACTCAAAATCTGACGCATCCACTTAGGGTCTGGTGAACTGAATGTTACGGTTAGATTAAGTTATCAGAATCCCTCGTTAACTTAGTTATCTGCCAATAAAACTTAACATTTGGGTTTCAGGCGTTGCAATTCCATCTGCAGTGCGCAGTAGTACTAAGGTTGTTCGCAGCTACCAGATATAATACAGGGACGGATTGGATTAGTGATGCAATTAACGTTGGATCGTTACAATAATCGTGAGTACAAACTGATGTAAAATTCGGAGAGCATCATGCCATTTGCCCGGAACAACGATTGACCGGAGGCCCCTGTGGGGGGGGGACAGAAAATAGCCAGTCCTTGAGTCTATACCCTTCTTATACTCATCATTATCAACATCAGTACGCGTTAGCTGGGGGTTGGAAACACACCCCAGCTAATGTTCTGAAATACAAAAGATAAGAGACTGAGAAATTACACTACCAAAAGAGCTTCCAGGCAAGTAATATGACGTTAACTATTGTGTTGTGCGTTTTGTATGAGATCAGGATTGGAGGGGGAACATAAAGGGAGAAGGATGGACGAAGAACCTCACAACATAAACGCCATTGGGGCCGGCTCTTCGCCATATCAGCAAGTGTGTCCAACCAAACGTGTTCATCGTTCTTAGGACCTCAGCCAGGCAGTCGGGATGCACCAACCGACGCCAACTTCGAAGTGAGCGTTTTCATTTCTCTCGACCAAGTCCTCGCTTAGCTTTGCCTCCCCCTCTTCTAACGCACCCCCGGCGTACAAAATGCGCTTCGCGGGAGTCGATGTGCTGGCGTGCACAACACGTGGCCCAGCCATCGAATCATGGTGCGCGATGTACTGGTGCTGAGCTGCATACTCGCTCTTCCTGCACCGAATGCGCGAAGCCGAACACGCGCATTGCTCACGCCGTCCTCCCACCAGACATGAGCCAAGCTGCAAAAACAGCGATGATCGAATGTGACGAGCCTCTTTATGTCTGTCGATCTGATGGTCAAGTTTCACAATCATAGAGGTGGCTTGAACGGACGGCTGCGTTGTAAACTCTGCCCTTCAGGGCGACAGAAATGTCGCGTTTGCGTCACAGGTTGCAGAGATTGGCAAAAGCAATTCGAGTTTTTGCTATACGGATCGTTACCACATATTCGATCCCACGGGCGCTACTATGGCTGCCCAGGTGCTTAAATTCCTGAACGACTTCTAGCTGATCACCACCAAGCATCAGCGTCGGGGCTGATCTATGCTAACCTTGGAGAAGTACTTCGCATTTCGATGGAGCGAAGCATAGTCCAAAGCGATCGGCAGCCAGTGCTGATCGGTCCAGTGTTGCTTGACACGTTTAGGAGCTGTCACAGATAAGGGCAATATCGTTCGCATGCTCCAAGACAAGAAGTCGCTCCCCAGGAAGTAGCTCCATACCGTCTAGGTATTACCCAGCGAATGCTGTTTCCATAACTTCGTCAATGGTGAAGTTAAATAGGAAAGGTGATAACGGGCAACCTTGTCTCACACCGCTGGTGATACTGATGGACGGCAACACTTTACCATAAACCCTCACTCTGCCCGGACTATGCGTGTACAGCACTTTGATAATGTTTACGTATTTACCAGGCACACCTTTCCTCAGCAGACAGTCCCAAACGGCATATCGATCGACTGAATCGAAGACACCTTTTATCTCAAGAAACACGACTACAGTGGGTCGCCAATAAACATGGCGGTACTCCAGCAGTTGAGGCAAAGTGAAGGTGTGGTCGATGCAGCCCGACCTCGACGAAACCCGGCTTGCTCTTCACGAATCTGGTTTTCGCGGGTGCCAGTCAGTCTGTGAAGAACGACGGACGCAAGCAACTTAAAGGCAAGTGAGATCATTCTGATCTCTCCGTGATTGCCACATTCCGAACGGGAGCCTCCATTGAAATTAGGACCATGGCGGAGTGGCTCCAGTCTGTCGGGACAGTATCCTGCTCTCAAAGTTTCACTTGCAACTCGTGTATATCATCTCCTAGAGCAGGTCCCCCGAATTTGAAGAGGGTTGGGGGAATTCTATCTGTCCCTGAGGCCTTATGTAATTCCAACAGCCTGGTCTCACCTTCGACTTATACTTTGTAAACTAGCATCCAGCGATCTGGCTGACAGGCGGCAACTGATCATTTTTTCTTATTGGTCCTCATAAAGGTTAATTTCATTTGCATTTATTACCTAACCAGATAAATTACTCGCTTTCTTTTCAGATAATTTATGAAGGGCACTAGTTCTCACACCTTGGATGACTATCGCTTATGATGCTTTTGCGAAGTTGGCAGCTCTATGACCAAATGTAGGCGGAGACGAGGCTAATCCGTGGTACTGTGATCCAAGTCAATCATATGGCTTAACGGGATCAGGTGGGAATGTACAGGAGTAATTTCATCTATACCCCTCACGAACGGCTGAACATTAAATTGACAAGGACGAGCAGTCCATATTTACAATGGTCATGCGTCCAATCCCTTTCACACGTTTATTCCGTGGCTTAGTTCAAGGGCTCCAGTTTGCCACAAAGTATCCCCAACCTTGACGATCTCAAGCACATGCATGGCATTGTATCCGTACAAAATACCTACTACTAACTCTGCTTCTATGGATCTTGTATAACAGATTTATATTTCTAATAACTATACATGCATTGTGGCTGACACTTCATCAGTGCTGTAACCTTATAATCAGGCTTATCGAGGAGCACTTCAAACCTATCTAGAATAAACCTGTATTTATTTATTTATCTATTTACTAAGGACTTTATGATATCCAACTTGCAAACTTAACTTTCGTATATTAACCACTACCACACGCCGCCAGACAGCCACTACACATCCGCGAAAGAGTTGAAAGAGTTATGTGTTGACCTGTAACGCGATTGACCTTCTGCCTACATCCCATTGGTCGCGATTATCATCCCAGTTCGCTATAAGTGCTATACCGATCCTCGACTGGTTCTCACGGCCTAAGGAAGATTTTGTGTCAAAAGCGAAAGTTTGCCCACAAACTATACCAACCGGTTGTTTTCAAACCTTTCTGAAATGAGTTCTCGATTGGTTCCAAGTATTTTTCAGGAAGCTGAGTTGAAAGATAGTTTTACACTTCCGGTACTTCTTAACAGTGCGTGTTCCCTTTATCACCTCCGGGGATAGAACCCAATCATGTGTGCATACTCACCACGGTTAAGACTATTGGACCAAAGGGACGACTCACAGTCACTTTGGCCAATCAGCCACTTATAATATAATTCCAGGCTTGTGCGGTTGCGTTACCAACCGAGTCCCGGTGCGTATTATGTACGGTGGCTCACGCTTGTCAGCTGATCGTGAGGTTCCCACGTGACGGTCCGGATTCCACACTGTTCTGCTGTGGCCGCCATCATGTTTAACTATGTTATATTAGCCAATAGCTCATTACCACGCTCTAACTGCCTGAGTATGTGGAGCTGCTTGTGGATGTCTGGCATAACAGGTCTGCTAATACCGTGCATAATTCCAGTGATTAATTGAATTCTTGGTTCTGGAATTCTTTTGCACCGAAATTCGACAAAAGCTGCTTCTGCACACAATTCTTTGACTGCGGCTACTTGTGAATATTCGTTACTTGCGCCGCGTCAATTCGACACACTAAAATTAAAATCACACTCCAAAAGCATTAATTGCGAAAAACAGCTTAACTTATCACGGGGCAAACGCGCTTCAAGTGACTAACCCTCTACCCTGCACCTTGCGAAGGAATATTGTCATGTAGGATGAATGTCGAGTTACATACCATCTTTTTGTATGACCCCATCAGCCAGCGCTCATCCGGCGTGGTTCAGTTTTCGAGATGCGAATTCTTTTCCTTACAGGGTCCAGCTGTATTGCACACTGCAGCCGATTCGCGAAAGACTGACACAACCGTCTGGTGCTCATCAGGATGTGTGGCGATTGTCCGATTGAGTGCAACTGCGATCCCTCGTTACACTAGGTTTTAAATGTGTCGCTTTTTCGCTCATCAACAACCGGTTTCTTTCTGTCATCACGTCTTCACCCATCCGCACCGTTGTTTCTTTCAGATAGCACAATTTCAACAGTTTGAAGCCAATCGCAGAGCTAATTATGAGAGCTACCTCGCGAGAACGTCCAGCATTGAGTGTTTAAAATCGGCGAAACGGAAACAAATCGAAGCCATTGCGGCTTCCCGTGTCCGGGAACCTGGACCAACGGTGAGAATTCGGCTGGAGGAGCATTCGCCGCCGTCTGAGGGCATGCATCTCAGACATCTCAGACGGGCTGGATCCAGCAGCCAAGAAATAACGGGGTTGTCTGGCTTACAGCAAAGTGGTGCCACAATTCATCACGTTACAGACGTACCGGGATTAAATGTGACGGTAAGCAGGCAAACTTCCACTTATTGCTCTCAGTCAAGTAGTAGGCGACGGAAATCCGCTTACTGACACTTTTTCTGGTTATCTGAGAGACTTGGTATATGATAGCATGATGGTCGAACATAACTTACACACAGTTTTGAAGTTACCATGCGGTCGTTTTTCTGAAGTTGTTCTGCAAACTTCAACAGTAATACCTAAAAACGGCAGTTAAAAACTAAAATGCGGTCATTCACCAAGTATTTAATACCTATGTCACCATAGTCGTTTGTCCATCTCCAAAGATGGTCGGTTAGAACAGATAAACTTGAACTCGGTTGATGAGTTCATAAACCGAGTATGGGAGTGCAATCCAGGGTTCGCAAACCTGAAGGGAAAAGTAATTACCTCGACACTCTAGACGGCTACATTGTTCGCACAATTTCAACCACTTACTCCTGAGCTGCGTGTGGTGTCTAAGTTTCAGCAAATGGCGGCAGACGTGGTTGGGGTCATTCAGTGTCTGATACGCTAATATAAGATCGGTGCGCAGCCTTGCATAGCGTCCGCTGAAAATTCCCAGCAACTTCAGTCTTCGGTGGTAAGAGTGATAGCGCAGACCTTTTACATTCTTTGTTGCTCTTCCTTGTGGTGCCTCGAACGCTTCTAGGTCGCGCTTCAACCAATGTTGAATAGCGTATTCAACATGCGAGCGCACGTAGAAATTGTGCATCATTGGGAAGATTGATGGGTCGAATCTCTCGAATGCCGTTCGCAGCATGCCGACCTGCTGGTTGCCACTTTTAGCAGCTACCTCATCCTGTTTTGAACAGTTGGGGTCGTTATGTAGGATCACCCCAAGGTCACATTCCTGGGAGCTGATCTGCAATCCGGGTGCCCTAAGCAAATATGTTTAGTTTTGTCCATGGCGTAATTACACACCGCGACATTTGTCTAGATTGAATGGTATGGCGTTTTGAACTGACCAGTTCGACACCATGTTAAGATCGCATTTGCGCCTTTCGTGATCGTCCGGTCCTCTGATTCTTCGTCATACCTCGATGTCATCAGCGAAAAACAGGAGAACGGAAGTAAGTGATCTCTCCAAATCGTTACTGAACACCAAGAATAGATGAGGTTCAAGCACCAAGCCTTGTGGTACCCCACATACCACATCGATTGCATCGGACAATGATTCTCGGACTCCCAACTTCAGCCGGCTTTCGTGTAGAAAATTGCTAATCCAACTCAACATTGGGTCGTAGTTCCGAAGCTTCTGAAGAAACATTTGATGGTCTAAGCGATCAAACGCTCTTGAACAGTACAGGTAGATCACATCGACTCCTGCTGCATCATCAACAGCTTCAGTACAGATATTAAATGCAATTAATATGTTAGTATTACATGAACTCTTTGACGAAAGCCATGTTGCTGCGTGTTAAGTGTGGCCGTTAGCAGATAAACGGCACAAAAAGCGCACGCCTTGCATGCAACCGTCTTACTAAAAGCTTCCTGTATTACAGTGGCTAGAAGTGCCGAAAGGTAAACCAATGTAATAAGGAGTAAGGGGACGTCCTTCTCAACCAATCACTTGAGGGCCTGTTCTACGAATCGCTATTCAAGTGCATACATGATACTCCCCTCTTCTCTGGTCATGACATCTAAGCGTTTTGGGCGTCATAATTCTGGTTGTACTGCATCCGCTTTTGGTTCCTGGTTTTGTGAAACAGTTGCTCTGTTCATTATTGGGTCAGTAACAGTCGCTTTTTGATCCCGCTTCTATAGTCCGTTTGAGCGTGGCCGGATATGATCAAAATGGCGAAGCACTATACGGTCGTTCTCCAGCTGTAGCTTCGTTTGGTTAATCTTTGAGGACATGAGTGTAGCAGGTTAACAGCTTGTTTCGTCAGGCAGTCTTGTGTATACCGGATCAAAATCATTAAGACATATTTCCCATAGCATCTTCGCATCCACACACATTTTCTCCTGCTTCTCCTCCATTCTCCTTCGAGGTTTCAGAAAGGTTAGGTGCAGTTGCGTTCATAGTGGCCGACCAAACATTAATTCTGTGTGTGTCTTCGCTGTCGACTTAGTCAGTGTCGTGCGGTAAGATAACAGGAGTCGATCCAACTTAGTTTGTAGAATTCCATGAGTCTGTTTGAGAAGACCTTGCTTAACAATCTGGACTGTACGTTCTGCCGTTCCAGTCTACGCGGGATGATATGACGCAGAGTTCATGTGCTGTATTTCCTTGTTACTCAGGAACTGTTGAAAGTTCACTGGCAAATGGGGTTCCGTTGTCGATGTATACCTACTCTGGGATACCGAAAATAGCGAATGTGGAACGCATTTTGGCAACTATTGCTGCGGAAATCGCATGTGGAACTGGATGTACTTCTATCCATTTAGAATGGGTATCAACCAAAAGTGGACACATGAACCCATTAGTTGGGCTAAAGTAGTCCGCGTGTTCCTACTGCCAGGACCTCTCCGACCAACGGCCTGTACGTATAGGTCCGGATTTTTGTGTTTGGTATTTAGGACATTCTTCGCAGTTTTTCAGGAGCCGCTCTATATCCTGGTGTATGTTCGGCTAGTAACAATAACCAAGTGCCAGCCCCTTCATCCTGTTCACGCCGGGGTGTGCGTTCTGCAGCTCTCTCAGTAACTGGGCCATGCTTCTTCTGGTGGAACTATGTGCGAGCCTCGAAATATACAACCGTCATATAGAATCAACTCATTACTCGGACAAGCGAATGGTTTCAGCTCGTCTGACTTGCTTGTAGGCCATCCGCTCATCAAAAACCGTTTCACCATCGACAACACACAGTCCCGATCCGTCAGGCACCGCACCATGTCACTCCAGATGGGTGTCTTTGCAAGGTGTTACATCAAATTGATAAACGCCATGCGTTCACTAATCCTTTTGTGCCATGCCGCTGCGGGACTAGACTAAGTGCATCGCCAATGGTACTACTTGGTCGTTTAAACACTGAATTTTCTACCTATAGGCGCTGAAAAGTATTGTCCCCACTGCACTCTAGGTGAAGGCGTCTTTTGGATACCTTTCTTCCCACCCAGGAGCGAAACACATGGTTTATGGTCGGTGTAGATATCAAACTTTCTTCCCAAATGTACTGGTGGAAATGCTTGACTCCGAAAATAATCGCTAAGGCCTCTCTATGTAGTTTGGGGCAATTCCTTTCAACGGGTGGCAGGGTACGAGAAGCAAAAACGACTGGAAGAAGAGAACCGTCATCCGTCCGGTAGCAAATATATATATATTTTTGCAACAGTCTATGAATAGACATTGCACCATCGGAAACCATGGAACTCAAAACAAGGTACAGAAATAGTAAAAGAAAACACAACACAACACAACAATGTCCACGGTTTCGTCAGAGGGCGAAATACTACCCGGTTGCCCAAGCCGAAGTAGGGTGTTGACTTAGGGGACACCACCCCGAGCCTTTGGCTGAATAGCCTGTCCGCAAGGCAGCGGAGCGAATTCAGGGAATCGCGCCCATTGGGAGCCGGTAGCAAAGGACTGCGCCTACTCCGCGAGGGGAAGCATCAGACTGCAGCACTAGAGGCCGTCTCGGATCGAAATGCACGAGCTACGGGGCAACGTTTAGCACTCTTTTTGTATCTGTGAAAGCCTTAATTTAATCCGGACCCCAAATCTAGGATTTCACCTTGCGCAACGGTTCATATAACGGTACAAATGAAATTGAGGTGTTAGGTAAGAAGCGACGATAGTGTGAAAACATCCCTAAAAGCGATCGGAGTTCAGCTCCATTCTTGGGTTCAGGTGCGACAAGGATGGGCTTTATTTTATCTTCTAACACGTGTAATCTGTTTTTATCGAGGCCCTAACCAAGATAACCAAAGTAATCTGCGAAAAACGTACTCTCGGATTGCTTCCGCTTGAGTCCGCTCTGTTGTAAGCGTTCGAGCATAGTGGATAGCATTTGTAAATGTTAAGCATCTGTGCTTCCTGCAATTAGATAAGGGATGGGTATCCAGAATTAAACAACGATCAACAGTTAGTTTCTAGTCACCACAAGTACGCACAGAAATATTAGGCTTCATGAATGGAACTATCGGATTTCCCACTCACTGGATTGGACTGGTTTGATTGTTCTTGTTGATTGCAATCTCTGTATCTCATCTTCCACATTTGATCTCAGGGAATAAGGTAGGGTACGTGCCCTGGAAAAGCAGGGCTGAGTTCCCGGCCGTAATTTAATAACAGCCTGATATCCATGTACTTTTCTCAGCTTCTCATCAAAAACGTCAGAATAGTTGTTAAACACATCCTCCCAGCGTTGGTTAATGGACGTGAACTTCACTGACTCTAGTGTGGCTGGAAGGCATTTAATCCAGTCGCGCCCGAGTAAGTTCGGACAATCATTCGCTACAACATATGCCTGTAAGCTTCGGTTGGCACCATGGTAATTTACTTGAACAGTACATTTTTCCAGGACTGGTAACGCCTGCCCAGTGTGCGTACGCAAAGTTGATTCACAGGGGGATAACTTGGGTAAACTTTTAATTAAGGCAACACTGATTTTGGTAACTGAGGCACCGGTATCATGTTCCCGTTGAACCATCTGGATTTTTACTTAGAATTGCAGTGTAGGGTCGGTGAATGCTGCAAATCCTATACATTGCGTTCCAGATCGTGTTAATCTGGTATTCCTCGTCTGAAGACGGGACGATCTCCACGGGTTTCTAAGGAAAACGTGAGGTCGCGGCTGTGCGAGCATTAGAACGGCAAACTCGGACCAAGTGCCCTAATTGTTCACACTGGCATCAGATCCTCTGTTTACGATGACATTCCTCGGTTGATAAGTGCTGACTTTCACATGGGTAACAGGCAAAAGGTACTTCTGAAAGTCTCGGGGTAACATCTTTTTTGGTCGAGTGCTAGGATTGCGTCTGTATCAGGTTGCGAGGCAAAAGCTGATAACTGCGTATCGACATTCTCCAGCTGGAGAACAATATTACAGGCCTTCTCCCAA